TTTTTTTGAGCCAGAGTCTTTATTGCCACTTGGTAGAGTGCTGTGGCATCATAGCTCACAGCAACCTCTAACTCTTGAGCTCAAATGATCCTATTGTCTCAGCCTCTGGAGTAGCTAGGATGAGAGGAGCCTACCCCAATGCCTGGTTATTTTTTTTTACAGATGGGGGGTTTGCTCTTGCTCAGGCTGGTCTTGAACTCATGAGCTCAGGTGATCCACATGCTTTGGCCACCCAGAGAGCTAGGATTACAGGTGTGAGCCACTGTGCCTGGCCTGAACAGTTGTTTTTCTGTTTTTCATGTTATTTTGCTCTTTCTCTTCCTTTTGATAAATAAATCTATGTGAAACTCTTTGCATGTTGATTTCAAAATATTATCAATGGATTGGTGTGATTTGGTGTAATGTAAGTAGGGAGACTCATGTTCTTTTAGAACCTAGAGTTTCTATGGTTGACAATATGAGAAATTGATACATAGTATAATGCTCTGAGTTGTATTATTTTGCTGAAAATATGATATGTCAGTTAAAATGACTTATCTTATATCTTAAAGAATGTTACTGTAGAAACTTGGTGGCCTCACGGACATGGAAACCAGACTGGATACAACATGACAGTTCTTTTTGAATTGGATGGAGGCGTAACTATTGAAAAATCAGCAAAGGTAAATACTTTAAAATATTTAGTGAAAAAATTATATTTCTTGTTAAAATTGCAATACAGATCCTTGTAGGAAAAGAAGAAACCAACAAAACTTATATACCCCCACCACTCAGAGATAGTCTCCAGTAACTACATTCAAAAGCTTCTCTGTATACGTGTGTATTTATTTTTAATAGACCAGACTTTATATATTATTTTGTGAACAGTCCCCTGCTATGCTTTTAACTTGTGCTTTATGTCAAAGTAATACATATGTATAATTTTATTTATTTATTTATTTATTATTATTTTTGAGACAGAGTCTCAAGCTGTCCTCCTGGGTGGAGTGCTGTGACATCACAGCTCACAGCAACCCCCAACTCTTGGGCTTAAGCGATTCTCTTGCCTTAGCCTCCCAGTTAGCTGGGACTACAGGCGCCTGCCACAACACCCAGCTATTTTTTGGTTGTAGTTGTCACTGTAGTTTGGCGGGACCTGACTGGATTTAAACCTGCTGGCTCTAGTGTATGTGGCTGGTGCCCTAGTTGCTTGAGCTACAGGTGCTGAGCCCATATGTATAATTTTAAAGCTCAATTATTAATATTACTAGAAGGTTCACACTAAAAACAAGATCCTTTGCCTGACACTTCCTATCCTTACTTCCTACTCTCCAAACCAATAATTTTTAATGTTTACTTATTTCTTGTCATTTTTCTAAATATGATGTTTCTACCAGTGTTTTCTAATTTTTCAGTCCTGCCCAGTCTGAGATACAGGACTAAAAATTGGAAAGGGCTGGTCTTTGTTATTTACTAACTAAAGGCTACTTAATCTTCTAAAATAGGGACAGGAAAAATGAGATAACTTGGATTTGGCCTATGGCATATAGTCAGGAGAAAGAAGATTAATCCATTTCTTAGCTTTCCTTCTTCTCCCAGCGTTGACCTTTGGTGTTCACCTCTTGCATTTGGTCTTACCTCACCTGTGGGCCAGACAACAGGATAAGTTTGGGGCTGTGTCCTTCAGGAGCTCATCTCCTATTTTTTTTGAGACAGATTCTCACTCTGTCACGCTGGGTGGAGTGCCGTGGTGTCATCCTAGATCACAGCAACCTCAAACTCTTGGGCTCAAGCAATCCTCCTGTCTCAACCTCTCAAGTAGCTGGGACTATAGGCACCCACTTCTATGCCTGGCTAGTTTTTCTATTTTCAGTAGAGACCAGGTCTTTCTGTTGCTCAGGCTGGATTGGAACTCCTGAGCTCCAGCAGTCCACATGCCTTGGCCTCTCAGAGTGTTGGGATTACAGGCGTGAGCCCCCACACCCAGCCTCCTATCTTTCTTTTGTTCAATCATGCTGTATATTTTCTAAGACTCTGTGAGTGTGTGTTGTGCATGTGTAATGTGAGAGTGGCATGTACACAGGGAGAATTTCGTGGGCCTGTCTAAAGGGCCAGAACATTCACTCTTAACTCTAACCTGCTCGGCACAGAACTTGTGTCCTCTCACGTGTTGAATTGCCTACGTTATCTTCATGAAAATGTGAAATTCATGACCATTCCCGTTTATGATAGAGAAAGCAGAAAAACTGTTTTGTTTTTTTTTATTTGTGGAAATAATTGTATTTTTATTCGGGCTAACATGGTTGCATCATTTTTCATTGCACATAATATTGCCAGCCTTTGCACTGAGCAGCAGCAGGAGTGAAGGAAGATGTATGACTCCATGTCTTGCATGAAGGCACGTGTGAAATGTGCTTTTTGGCTGCTGCTGCCATTGAGTTTGAGTTATTTTTGAGGCTCATTCATTCAGTGAATACTTAGGGCACATGCACCGTGTTTCAGCTGTTTTGCTGGGCCCTGGGGATAGAGCTGTGGATAAGACACTGCTTCCCTTTCTCTCTGAGATAATAAACTGCTTGGAAAGTTAAATCATTAAATAAGCCCCCATGATTCAGTGTGATAAGCATTCTAGAAACAGCGAGAAAACTGGGGAGACAAAGAGCAGGGGAAGGCTGGGAAGATTTCCAGAGAAGGTCAGTTCTCTGTTTGAGGGATATATTGAACTTGGGCAAGCAATGTAGAAAGAGGCAGAGGGAAATTAATATGTGAAGGCCCAAAGACTCGGAGGAATATTGTGTGTTGGTAGAAGTGTAAGAAATTTCAGTGCAGCTATATTGGGGTTGAAGTTGAAGAACAAGTTATGATGTTGTACAGGTAGGAGAGGAGCTAGGACAAGCTCCTTCAAGGCCTAGTGAGCCAAGGGAAGGAATTAGCACTCTCCCAAGGCAGTGGTGTTCTTAGAAGGATTTTACAAAGGTTGTGGCTCATGCCTGTAATCCCAGCACTCTGCGAGGCCAGATTGAAAGAATGGCAAGAGTGGAGGGCCAGTGAGAAGACTGTGGTGGTGATTCAGGCACAAAATGATGATTGCTCAGTCTACAGAATCTCTGAGGATATAGATATTTAAGAGGCAACATCATCAGGCTTGATGATATGGGGGTGGGAGAAAAGAAGGAGTTAAGAATGTTTCCTCAGTTGCTGGTTTTGGCTGCTGAACAGATGGCAGTTCTGTTCTTTGGGTTGAATTACTCACAAAGAAGAACAGGTTTGGGAGACGGAGTAGGGTGGAAATTATTTCAGTGTTAGATGGATTATGTGTGGCATGATTGAGAGACACCCAAGTCATAATATTTGATGGGCATTTCATTATGTAGGAGCTTAGGAATGGGATCTGGGGTAAGAGGGTAGATATGTGAGTCAGCAGAACATAGTTAATTGTAGCCATGGTAGGACATGAACTGAGGGGCCACACAGAGACGAGAGCGAGGGCAGAACCCCAGGCAATCACCATAAGTAAGAGTAGGAGGGGGAAGGAGCCCATGGAGGAATCTGAGCAGGGATGGTTGAAGAGGTGGAGGGAAAATCAGTTTGAGTGGGGGAGTTAGAGGCGCCAGAGGGAGAGAGTATTTTAAGAAGCAGGGCATGTTCACAGAGTGCCAAATGCTACAGGGGAGCTCGAGTTAGAAAAGGATGAAGAAAGATCCTTTAGATTTGCCAGCAAGGAGCTCACTAGTTGCTTTGACCAAATTGAAAATCAGATTGCAATGGGTCGAAGAATGGCTGAAGGTGAGGAAATAGAGATGGTCAATATAGGTAGCTCTTTAGAAAAAATGTGTGGCTGGGAAGCATGCCAGAGCTGTGTGGTAATGCTGGCCAGTTGGGCTCAGGAGATGGGCTGTCTACATATAGGCAACCGAGCAGATAAGTCAATATATGAAGTAGTGGGAGCCAGCCTTTTCACAGATGGGGAAGCTAATAGTGTGAACGTACGACTTTTAGTATGTATAGATATAGAAATAGACACGTAACATACACAAACACTTCCTAGTTCTCTCATCACGTTTCCTCGCTCTTTCCCAGAGCTCTTAGAAAGAGTGACCCTCTAGGAGCAATGAGCAGAGCTAGAGCCCATAGCTTGACTTTTGAATACCATGGTCTACTAACAGGAATCAGGGCTCTCTGGAAAAATGACTGATCCCCGGGCTGGTGCCTGGAATATCTCCCTATGCTTGGAAGTAAAAAGGTACTCAGGAATGACTGACACTTGGAAAGGACACAGGGGCCAGTGTACTGGGGCTCCCACTGGCCAAATCTGGGAAAATTTGAGCATCAAAATAAATAATGACAGTAAAAGTTTATAACCTATTGAACATGATAGAAATGTTTTTGAGTGTGCACTGATATAAGTAAATAAATGAATAAATCATGGGAGAGAAAAGGAAGTTATTCCTCAAGTGAAATGCTAACTAATAAATGGAGAAGGAATGATGGAGCTAGAAAAATAACCAGGCGACTACTACTGTAGATGTAAATAGTTAAGGTAAGAAATAGGAGTAGATACTAAAACTAAAAGGTGAGGTAGCATGAAGTATGGGCTATTTCTATAGCCTCGCAGCATCGCTCAACAAATTAGTGTTAATTATAATGGAGAAAAAATACAGTGGAGAAACCTAGTAGATAAGGTTTCTTAATTAAGTGATTATCATCACTAATGAGAGAGAGTGACATCATATCCACCTGAGAAGCTGCTACAAGAAAAACATAGCATCGCTTCTGTTTGTGCTGCCAAAAGCAGGTGACCTGGATCTAATGATGAGGAAGCAACAGACCATTCCCTTTTGCTGAAGTCTTCGAATCTCCTGCCATCTTGAATCTCTGTAATCTTTAAGAATGTCAGTGAAAGAGGGAGGAGCTGTTCCACGCTGGAAGAGACTGAAGAGATGTAACAACTGGTTGCAGCCTGTGATCTTTTTTGTTATAATGTTATTAAGGCAACTGATGAAACTTGAGTAGAAGAGGCAGAGGTGATGGACTTAAAGGCGTTCTTGTAGTGTTATTTCAGTTTTTCTGCAAGTTCGAAATGGTTTCAGCCTGAGCTCAGGAGTTTTAGACCAGCCTGAGCAAGAGCCAGGCGCCTTTTCTACTAAAAACAGAAAAACTAGCAGGCTGTGGTGGCAGGTGTCTAACTACTTGGAGCTGAGGCAAGGGGGTCGCTTGAGCCCAGGAGGTTGAGGTTGCTGTGAGCTGTGACACCACAGCACTCTACCCAGGGAACAGAGTGAGACTCTTCCTAAAAAAAAATTGGAGAGAGAGGGAGAGACTGAAAAGAGGAAAAAGTAGGAGATGGTGGAGAGGGCGAGATCTCCGTCTGATAAGGCAGGCGAGGGTATCATCCTCTGTGATGGTGGACGGATTCATCTGGGAGGAGGGGCTCTGTGTCTGCTGTAATGGGGTAGAGGAAGGGGTGCGACTTGGGGATAGAGGTAGTTTTCAAGACCTCTAGGACCACTTAAAGTATATTTTCTTTCTGTGGCACTCACACACTCTTCTTTCAGTGGAGTGTTAAGAGGAAAAAGTGAACCTAACAAAGAAAGTTTAGGGAGTTCTGGTCAAATAACTCTTTCTCTTTGCCTGGGAACTAGGAAGTAATGTCTGCTGAGCAAAATGGGCAAGTGAGAAATTT